AGGTTCGAGCATCCTCTTCCTCCATATCAAAATCCAGATCGCGCTGGTCCCCAGGCTCGGCCTGGCCCCCCGGCGCCATTTTAAGGGCACGTCGTACCTGAGCTGGTTGATTTCTGACATCCAGAGGCGGGTCCAGCTCAGTAGAGTGTCCTGGCACAGCGAGCAAGACAGGAGGAGGCTCAGCAGTAGGAGGGTCAGCTGGTGCACATTCGGCATCATCAGACTCCTCAACAAGAGTGTTGAAACATGGAATGCAGAAGTTTGTCTCAACAGTGACACCGAGCTTCGATCGAGAAAAGTGTGGGTGGCGGCCTTTGGCGAGAGCGTTCCACCCATACTTGGCAGCACGAGTGGGCGGGACACGGCACTCCTCGCCAAGACCTCTGACGGACGCACCCGTGGAGTGGCATTTGCAGCGCGTGCAAATGAACAAGACCGATCCATCAGAACAATCGAAAGCCACAATGTGATGACCCAGGGCGTCCTGACGCGAAGCGTGCAATTTCGAATCATTCGGGCAACGTCCAGCAGCCGGCTTAGCCGAGGATCGCTGACCACGAAGACAGACTGAGCACCGCCAAGCTCCCCGCCACTGCTCCCAACGATGGCCTGGGGCAGTGGGGCCCTGGGGGCCCGCGCCCTGAGGCACATAAAGGATATCCTTCGAGGCCTTCAGGGGGGCGAAAAAAAGGCAAAATTTTAGCAGCTAGCTTACAGGTGGCATGCGCGCACTTCACAAGGAGATCAGCTTCTTTCAAGACCCCCTCGTCTCTAGGATGAGCGAGAAGGGCCGCTTTAGCACCGAGGTCGACGACATGGTTATCGAACCTCCGGGCATATTCCTCTTCGGAGATGCCCTCTTCGTTCAAACTTAAATGAGATTGCACCTTAGAGACGGCAGTGATACGTTTCCTTTCGGGGCGAGCAAGAAGCTGCACAAAGATGCCGGCGTACATCCTTTTGAAGGAGAGCTGACGATCACGTGAGGCATCGTGCTGCTGCTTGACATTGGCACAGTCTGTGACGAGCTCTGACGGCCCGACAAGACACATAGTTGCACCCCAAAGCCCCGAGAATTCCCCAGCCTGGGGCGTGTGCGGGAGCGGGGCCCAGACGGGACACCGCATGGTGCACCGGTGAACCCCGTCGTCGGAAAACATGGCGGCACTCCAAGCAGCCCGGCTGAGCTCCCTGATGGGGTGCCGCGAAGCAGAACCGTCAATAAAAACCTTTCCCTGGATCGCTAAAGGCTGGGGCGGAGGAGGATCTTGATTCCAATCAACTTGCCATGCGCCTTCAGTGAGCGGGGGTGGGTGATCGTCAGCAGGGTGCGGCATACCACCTCGAATCAAAGTCGAAAACCGAGACTTCGTCGAAGCAAATTCCTTCACGCCTCCAAGCACATCAGCATCAACATATTCCCGACGTTCTTTATCAAGACACGGACAAACCCAAAGACGATGAAAAAGAGTATCCCGAGCAGCACCGCAAAGTTCACACATCTCGGGGAACATGTAGCCTTTCGACCGGGCGTAGGTACGACACCAAATGGCTCCCGTGGCAAGAGCTCGAATAGTGCCCTTCTCAGCCGGGGAGAAACGCTTGCTGGCCAAACAATTAGACACCACGTCAAAGCAAGCCCTCCCCTTGTACCCAAGCTTCGCTCCAATGTCCCATTCCAGTTGACGAACAACGGCGTCTCTCAAAAGATGGCGAACCAGAGCTGGAGACATCGCGAGGAGCGGGATCTCCATGCCGCGATCGTCGATCAGCGTGGCGAAGTTGGGCATCTGCCAACTGATGCGCTCGAGACTCTTCCTCATCGCCGAAATAGGCCCAGCCACACTCCTCCAGGTTTTCGAGTCCTTGGAAAAAACGGCTTCCCAGGCAACCCTACACTCACGAAGATTCAAGATGGAGGGGTGGACAGCCAAATGACTATGCCAGAGCTCCTTGTGCCACCTACAAATGGGCGCCACCTGGGCGGTCCAGGTGGGGTCACGCTCGAGCAGAAGTAAAATGCCGAGACTACGATCCCCAGCCGAAGGCTTGATGGCACTAGCAAACGAACGACGCAGGGCCAAGAGCTCCGAGTCACTCAATCCGTGCACTTCGACCCCGTAGGTCGAGGCAGGCAAGACGCCGGAGCACCAGACATTTCGAGCCTTACGTCCGATCATTCTGGCGAGTTTCCCAACGCGTTTGCCTCGACGGGAGGCGGCAGCCTGACGAGCTTTAGCCTTGGCATTCCTACCGAAGTGTCTAACTGGGGTGCCTACCGCATCATCAACGCCAAGGTTGGGGGCCGAGGACACAGGAGGACCCGTCAAACACTCACCCAAAAGTTCTTGGATTTTTACCCCCATTCTTTTGCAAGAACAAATTAAAGCACCCTTGTCCTGCGCCAGCGTGGCCCCGATGCCCTCGGTGACGGCAACGTGCAGCTGGCGAGTGGCACTGACCAGAGAATCGACGACCTCCGCCTCCGGTCCAATAGCGTGAAGGGCATTGTCATCTATGCAAAGGGCATACGTGACGCAGACCGGCCAAACGATCTTGTCCAAACTGTCCAGGCTGTTGACCCGGATCCCGCACTCGGCGTAGTACGCCAAAGTGATGAAACTTGAGAGGGCGAGGTGCCGTGCACTTCGATAAGCGGCATAACACAGCCTGGCCACAGCAATTGGAAACCTGTGCTGCGCACAACGCGCCAACATCCGATGTAAATCTATACTTTCATAATACTTCTGGAGGTCCCATAAAAGCGTGCAGGCACACTGTCCAGAGGCAACACCACCCTCGCTGCGGAGGGCCTGCCTCCAGACAGTGTCGGCAGCTCCCATGAACCGCCCAGCAGCAAACCAAGTTCGATAATTTTCCTCTTCCCAAGCGAGCGCGAGGGGGCGACGAATTTTGGCCCAAGCGCGGTAAAGCCCCCCAAAAAGACCGATCGGCCTAAGACCAGGAAGGGCCTTAGGGATGAGGTGAAGAATCACAACTTGGATCTGAGAAGGCAGAAAAGACGACACTTCCATGATCTTCATAATCAAAATCAGAGCTCGAAGGCAGTCCACGGAGAGCCAAGAGAACTGACGGATGTGGAAACCATCAGTAGAAACCGCCGAAAAAACCCTATGCTTACCACACACCTCACGGACGTCGTCAACCGTGATTGGTGGGAGCTCAGGGGCAGGAACAAAAAGCTTGGGGGGGGCCGGCGGCACAACGTCGGCCTTCCACAACGCTTTGAATCTAGCAGCTTCTTCACTGAGGAGGTTGTGGGGGTCACTCACGACACGCCCGTCGGCGGCCAGGGCAGAAGTGGGAACAAAAGGTTTGGGGTCCTTGGTGGTAAGATGGGCCCGTTTGGCACCATGCGCATAACCTTCCAGAACCCATAGCTTCCAAGAAGACAGGCTGGCAGCACGAGAGCTTCAATACACCTGTCAAGCTGGACACGTGACTCGGACTTTAGAATGTCACCCCTTTCAATGGCCACCGACCTGTTTAAAGCGCCGGCTTCGGCAGCAAACTCAAGCACAAGAGCAAAGAGGTCTTGCCGAGCGCCCTGAGCCGCGGCCACACCGTCGGGCATCGAGATAATGGCCGAGGTAGCCTCAGTCAGGTCAGGCGCCTTAGCATCGGTTAAAAAACACATGAGTACCTGGAAACGCTGCCACAACCACCTCATGGCAAAGAGTTCCGCGTTCCGAGGGGTCCGCATGTCGTGGTCCAGGACAGAACGCCAGACGATCCTCGGGAGCTCACCGCGAAGACCTCTCTTGGGAAGTTCAACTCCCGCATCAGCTTCGAGTTCAATCTCGGCCAAGTTGGCCCACTGCTTATAGCAACGATCCAGCGCTGACTGCGTGAGGACACCATCACCAGTGCGTGCCACAAGCAGGCCAGCATCGAGGTCGGCCAAGAGCGGGCCATAATCAGGAGGCTCCCGCTTAGGACCCACCATGCGCTCCACAGGGATCCTCGGAGGCTTCCGAAAGGCCATCGACTTTAAACGCCCAAGCTGGGGGAACAAATGCAACCGGACGGGGGAGTAAGGAGAGAGGTTCGAATCAGGCACCATCTCGATCCTGCTCACGGCCGCACTAAGCCCGCGACTTCCACAAAATAATCGTCGAGCTTCAACCCCCCCGTGGTGGTGCACGTACCCAAGACGTCAGGGTAAAGGATTCTGCCCACAGCCTGGGTGTCGAAGCGCGACGACTGCAAGTCCGAAGGGTGGAAATTAAAATCACCACCTACCAACCTAGCGGATCCCAACGAATCGAGCGCCGAGCCCAAATGAGACAGTATGGTAGAGTTCGGCTCTTCCAATTTCTTCCCGTCCTGTAGGTACAAAGAAAAAACATAGACTTCCAAACCTCCAGGAATCTGGACTGCACCTCCGAGGCACCGGTGAGGTTCGTACGGAAACGGAGCGAGTCGGTGAAGCCCCAACCAAGAGAGCGAAGAAATCTAAAAGCCAGATAAAAAAAAAATGAATACAAAAAAATAATTAAAAATAATATTAAAAAAAAAAATTAATAAAATAAAAATCAATAAAATTAAAAAAATATAATAAAAAAGAAAAAAACAAAAAACAATAATAAAAAAAAAAACAAAAAAAAAAAATCATCTCCTCCAATTGTAGGAGGAGGATAAGAGGAAGAGGAGGTAGGAGGGCAGGCGAGTGAGAAGAGGATGGAGGTTCTAGGGGGAGGGGGGGAGGTGCGGGGGAGGGGGTGTGTGGGGGAGGTGAGGGGAGGTGGGAGGGGATGGGGATGTAGGGCGGGGAGGCCGGGATTGGGGGGGGGGGGAGGCGCGGGGTTGATTAGTAGGGGGGGAGTAAGAGAGTGACTATTAGTAGACATAGTGAATTTGTGGAGAAGCTCATCGTTCAGAGGGAGAAGGGGGAGAAGAGGGTGAGGGGGGGCGGTAGAAGTGGGAGGAACAAGAGGAGGTGGAACTAGGAGAGGATGGGGGGGGAGGAGGGAGGGGAAGGAGGCCACCCCTCCTCGCCGTGGCTCTCGCCGACGTGCCGGCGCGGCACGGCGAGGAGCTGGACGCGCTGGCGCGCGAGTTGGGCGCGCTGGAGGCGCAGAGCGCGGCTGTGGGGCCGCGGCTGCGGCAGGACCTCGTGCCGCGGGGAGCGGTCCCGGAGGCGGGCGCCCGTGGGCGGCAAGGCAGGAGGGTGATGATTACAGTTCTCCTCTTCCTCCTCCTACTCGTCCTCCTCCTCCTCCTCATCCTCCTCCTTTTCCTCCTCTCTCTTCACTCCTCCTCCTACTTTCTTTCCTCCTCCTCTTTTCTCCTCCTCCTCCCTCCGCCTCCTCCTCCTTCCCCTCAAGTGATGAGTACAGTCCTCATCCTCTTCTCCTCTCCTTCTCCTCCTCCTCCTCCTCCTCCTCCTCCTCTCCTCTCCCTTCCTCCTCCTCTCCACCTCCTCTCCTCCTTTTCCTCTTTTTTTTTTTCCTCTCCTCTCCTCCTTCCTCCTCCGCTTCCTCCTCCTCCCTCCTCACCTCCTCCTCCACACTCCTTCTTCTCCTCCTCCTCCTCCTCCTCCTGCTCCTCCTCATCATCATCATCATCCTGCTTCTCCTCCTCCTCGTCCTCTTCCTACTCCCCCTTCGCCAATGATGAGTACAGTCCTCCTCTTCCTCCTCCTCCTTTTCCTCCTCCTCCTCCCCCTCCTTCTTTTCCTCCCCCTCCTCCTCTTCCTCGTTTTGTTCTTGAAGTGATGAGTACAGTCTACCCGCATAGTGAGGTTAGTTCGTGCGTGTCCTTCTACGGGAGGAATATTTCCAAATTGCAGAACAATGTCTGGGGACTATTTTTGATTTTTGGTTGCGCATGTTTTGGGCTATTCTCCGATCGTAAATCTTCTGTAGGAAAGAATGCTCGACCTAAGAGTAAGGATGGGCAACCTTCCCAATTCGGGGCTCCTCGGAGACCCTCGGTACCACCGCTGGATTCGCCTCGAAATCCTGGTCAGAACACCCCGGGAGAGGTCCGCGGAGTAGCGGTATCGGTATATTTTGGTTTCCCCATTTTTGGCCGCTTTCGTCGGCCGCGCCCCGCACGATAAGTTTCGACACGGGCTTCCAAGGCCCTGGCATACTTATCGAGCATCCTTATGGTACGGGTCGACTGTAAGGGGAGGGTGGATATCTCGACTACACGTAAGAGTGGCCCTTCGCCAGACTGACCTTCGGTGCGTGCCCACGCGGTCCCCCCTATCGCTGAGCGCGATGCGGCAGTAGCGTCTCGAGGGTGTCGACTGCTCGTGAAGTGACCCTTCGCCAGAGTAACCTTTGGTGCGGGCTCACATGGCCCCCCTCCGCTTGCTGAGCGCGATGCGATAGCAGTTCTTCGCGCGCTTGGATTTGGCCACCTCGCGCCCCTTAATCCGCGCACTATCGTTCGCTCTTGCGCAGGGCCGCTCCTGCGTGTAGCCGAGGGTGATGAGCAGGGAGGAGTGGGCCGAGATTCTTGACAAGCGTCGGGGGGACGTCACCCCCGCCGACAGCCCTTCATCGACCCCTGTCGCGGGCAGCCACCGCGCGCCCAAGGCGCTCCGACCCCCGCCGCGGCGCGACGACCAGGCGAGGCTGGTCCCCGTCAGGGGGGTATCCCCCCCACGCTTCTTAAAAAACCCAGTGTAATTATCATGGCGGGGACATGCTATCTCCCCAGATGTCCTGGCGTCTCTTCGGGTTTCGAGGGGTGTATCCTCAACTGGGGTGGTAATCTGGTGGGGGTCTCGAAGGGGCTGGGGATGGGGATGGGGATCGGTTCAGCGATGCTCACATCATCGTGGCGGGGAGATGCTGTCCTCCCCAGCTGTCCTGGCGTTGTTTCTCGCACTTCCGTGCCTCCCCTTGCTCCCCTCCCCCCCTCCGTCCGCGCACGGGCCCCGGGCCGTGCTGTGCGGCCCCCCTTCTGTTTAGGGACGCCCCGGGAACCGCCGATGGGGGCGGCCGGGCTTCCGTCGGGCCTGTCCCTCTACAGGAGGAAATGTTCAAAAATAGTCAAACAAATACTCTGGGCACGATCTCGATTTGTGTTTATCATTTTTGGCTACTTTAGCGTATGCTTTTGGCAATTCGCCCAAAATCCGCCTGTAGGGGGACATGCCCGACCTAAGGCCAGGCAGGGGGTGGTGGTCGTGTTTTCATTCACTGTGTTGCCGATCGGCGCGGTCCCTCGCACCTCCCCCCTCCCCCCCCCGCTGGAGCAGATCTTGGCTGTTTTGGCGCCTGTCTCAGGCAGGCGGGGCCTCCCCTCCCAGGACGCACTGCTCCAAGCGGCCGCACGAAGCAGAGGCCCAGAGCCAGACCCCCCTTTCCCCCCCTCCGCCCAATGTCGAAACGCCGAATATGAAAACGCAGCAGCAATGGAATTCCAGGCGCATCAGGAGCATCGCTGTGCTGTTAAGTATTTTACAACGCGCACAGCGCATTACCCAATCATGAGATAGCGGTACCCGTTGCCTGTTGAAAGTAAGTATTTTTGGTTGCCCGAGTCACAGGCCACTTTGGCGCCTTCCTATTTTGAGAGTCGAGTGGTGTTCCCTTGTCCCCCCTTTTCAGGGAGCGGGCGGACGCCTAATCCGCTTTCCACGCCTTCCCATTTCATGTTTCTTCCCACTTCTTCAGCCCCACGGGGTACGATTACCGATGGCCGGCCAAGAAACAAACGACACCACCCCACCTACGGCCTTTCCTGTTGCGCTACGGCCCATGGAGTCCGCAGCGCATACCACGCACAACCCCACGACAGATTTCTTAGTATTCGCTGGGCCCGCTGGGGCCCTAGGTGGGGTGGTGTCATTTGTTTAATGGTCCACATGGAATTGCGACGGGACGATTCCGTGGCCCTTTTTTCTTCCAACCCATGCCTTGGCCGACGCTCGTCCGACTACACGTGCCTCGCGCAGTCGTCTGGGCTTCCCCCCTCTTCGACGCCCCCCTCCTCTTCCTCCTCCTCCTCACCCTCCTCTTCCCCTTCCTCCTCCTCAGCGCATTTCAGCGCACCCTTTTGCATTGGGCATACCTGACACCGTACACTCGTTCATATTCGCGCACATGGCATCGGGGTGTTGAGCACTCGTTTCTGACTCGCACAGTGCATCCCATGGTCGGTCACCTTATCTGTCTCCTCGTACAAGTGTCTCATCATGCTGCAGCAGGACCAGTCCCAAGTAATCTGCACCACTCTTAAGTCTGGCATCTTTCTCATTCAAGGCGCACGGCGACGCATTCATGAATCTGCACCCTGTGATACAAGCGCAGGACACGACTACCATCATTTGGATTTGTGGTAGCATCCTAAACTTGGCAATGCAGCAGGCAGGGGTTACCATTGCAATCTCTTCGAAGCGGTTCTCCTGGTCCAATATTATTTCCATCTCCTATCCCAAGCAACAGCATATCTGGGTTCGGGGAGGCGCTAACAGATGCAAAAATCGCCACGTTGCTTTCACGTTCATTTCGGCTTACTCCTCCCCCCAACGCGGAGTCGGCTCGTTCGAGAAGAGATTGCCAAACCACATTAAGTTGGCTGGAAGACTTATACGAGTCTCACTCTTCTCGCACGCTATCTGTTTTGGGCATCGGCTCGGACGAACAGATCGGCCGCTTACGATCTCCTGCAAGACATACCCCGACCGACGATTCATGGACTTGCCCTTTCAATCGAAGTGTGCAGCAACCTCGCTCTCAGAAGTTTCTTGGCTTTGTGCTCAAGCATGATCTCGTACTGCTCAACACGTTCTTTCCCGCGTACCCTGCATATTATCATTGCGTATCTGGGTCCTCTAGCTACATCGACTTTCTTTTTGTGCCGCGCAGCTTCTGCCCCACAACAGGTTTCAACATGTCAGCCGCTCCGATCCTTGGGCGGCAGACTTCGACTTGTTTCAGGTCCTCGTCGGGTCGACCATCACCGTGTTTACGTACTGATCGAACATGGCTTAAGTTCTGAAGGGCAAGAGACTTAACAGCATAGCACATGGGATTTTGATTCAATGGTTCAATCCTGCATGCAAGGCTCAAAAGACAAGCTTTGCTTATCGTACTTGGCAAATGGACAAAACAACACGCAGCCGATCTTGACGCCATATCGAACAAGAGCTCATCTGAACAATGGGAACCACTAGTCGAAAATGGTCTCCTACCGATCGCAGCTGACCCCCATGGAAAATGCGCCCACATGCAGGGCCGCATTCACGTGAAGGGCACACTTACTTTCTCGCAGTCGCGGGTTCCAGCTGCTCGGCGATCACGACGGCCCGCAGAAGCTCGGCAACTCGCACGTCTTACTGGCAAGCGCATCGGCTGACGTCTTCGCAATTATCCCAAAGCCGCACTGCGACGACGCTCCGAAGAAGAATGGTTTCACGCACTTTCTGAACGTGGCTGTTCTGGCGGCTGGAATTGCATCTGACTCCTCCTCTCTCAGGTTCGCCAGGAGTTGTTCGACGACCTCCGTGTCACCTTCTCGGCGAATGCGATTTGAAGCAGACTCGCTGGTGCGTTCGAAAGAGCATCAATCGCAGCCGCCGCCCCCCCACCCCCCCACCCCGCGCCGCATGAGATGCGCCGGGCGAAATGTGGAAGATGGTTATTTGGCCGCGATCTGTATTCAAGGAAAAGACTCACGGAGTTGGACGCGGCACCTCTCTACGCGAACCTCAAGAGTTTCTCGAGCGTCTACAACGCATCATGGAAATGGCGCGCGCTACTGGCCACAGCCCTTTCCAATTTCATCGCAGCAGAGGCCATCAAATAACCCCCCCCGGCCGAGAAATTTTGACGACGCGCGCATCGCTCGCAGCATTTCGTCTTTTCCGAAAGCACATCGCAAGGGCTTGCCCCGACGACCTGGCAACCCGCATCGGCCACCCCCTCGTCATGCGTTCGCAGTCCCAGGGCGACGGCGCGAAGCAGCTCTTCATGCGCAAATGGTGGCTTGTCATCGATGCCCTAAGCTTGGTCTCAGTATAGCTAATCATCACTGCGACGTGTTCAATGCGTCCGCGTCTCCTTCCAATGGCATCGTGGACACGGCAACTCAACGTCTCGTGCCTGCTCAGCCCGATGACGAGTTCCCCGGGCATGAGGAAGCCGCCCT